TTCATTCATTCATTCATTCATTCATTTGCATTTTAACAATAGAGCATCAATATAATCTCTTGATTTTAAACATTTTTTGAATTCTTAAACGGTTATGTCTCATTCTTTTCTTATTATTGTTTGGTTTTATTAGGATTTAATTATTTACTTTATTATAATTATATACCCTAGTTCAAAGAAAAATACATGTTTTTTAAATATTTTTCTAGACCTGCTAACTAAATACAGATATATAATATACATGCTAACTAAATACAGATATATAATATACATGCTAACTAAATACAGATATATAATATACATGCTAACTAAAGACAAATATATAATATACATGCTAACTAAATACAGATATATAATATAGATGCTTGAGATACTGCTTTACATCAGTACTGATTACGTAAATTGTAATGAATGTTTTTTAGCCCAAAGAGATTTTGGATGTACGTTGGCACGCGCTTATAAATATTATTATACATTTTACTAAGTATCTCAATTCTGATTGGTCGAGAGCCCTCAGCCAATCCTTTATATCATGTGAACTTGACATGATAAATGTATTATCTGTAGGTTTTCCCACAGATAATACATTTATCATGTCGAATTCATTCAAAGTCACGCTGTGGTAGCTTTGTTTTTATTTATTATGTGTATTTATTTCCATAATTATGCACAAAAAACAATTATTTAAGGAATCCTTAACTTGTTTTCATATATTTTATGAAGAGTTCTCGAAGTAATTTTGAATTAAGAATTTGCATTTTTCACGCGACATCTTGGCGTTCATAATTCTTGTCTCTATAATTTAAAGTTCATGTTATTTTTTTTCCAGTATAAAAATTGTATAATAAAGCAATTATTGAAATCGGTTATCGCATAATATCCTAAATTATCAAAACCTAGGCTGTGTTATATGCCTCAGCCTTCGGCTTCGTCAGATAACACAGCCTCGGTCTTGATAATTTAGGATATCATGCTCAACCTCACCCAATAATTGCTTAGTGTTGCTTTTTGTTTATCTCGACGAATTACAAAGGCGTCCTAATTGAGGTGGACAAGTAATTGGCTAGATCGAGTGTCATAGTTAGTTTTTGTAATAACTCTTGATGCGCGATTTTGAAGTTTTTGAAGTCGATCACTTAGCTGTTGACCTAAGCCACTCCACACCATACTACATTAGTCGAAGTGGGGCTAGATAAGCGTTTTATAAATCTGAATGGCAGTACTGATCGAGATAAAAGGACGCACACATTTTACGACTCCTATGTGAGAGGAGACTTTCTTGATACCATTTTGAATGTGTATAGACCAATTCCTTTTTTTTTATTCTATTGTGCCGCCGGGCGACTTCGTATGATCGACTTTTTTAATTTCGTTAAATATCGCAAACCGGTACTTTTATTTTGGAAAATCGTCATGTGCAGTAAATGTTTAGCGAGAGCCAATAATCATAAATTCAGCTTTGGTAACGTTTAAACTTAGCTTATTGCTAAGTAACCATTTATGAATGTTTCTTATTTCTGCATAGAGGCGGTACAGGCTCGAGAACTGGAATGCTCTTACCATCAACAGCGATGTTAGTGTCATCAGCAAACATTCGTGCTGAGGCTGTATCCAAGCAGTTAGGTAAACCGTTGATAAAAATTAGAAAAAGTAATGGCCCAAGATTAATGCCTTGAGGCACACCAAATCTTACTGCACTTTGGCCAGACAGGCTTCCGTGTACCAAAGATCTCTGCAATCGATTTGTTAGATAAGACCTAAACCAGGAAACTGACAGTTGGTCTATGACACCGTATAGTTTATCATTTTAGTTAACAAAATCTCAGTATCAATAGTGTCAAAAGCTTTTTGTTGTAAATCAATAAAGATGACACCATTAAACAAGCCCCTGTCAATATTAACCGACATGCAGTTAGAGAACTGTGCAGTGTACGGAAGCCTGATTGGCAAGTCGCTAACAATTCATTTGTATTTAAGTAAGTATAGAGTTGGTCGAGTACAATTTTTTCGAACAATTTTAGATATAGTGAACACTAATGAAATTGGTCTGTAATTACTATTTACATCATTTTTGTCTCCCTTATTAAAGATAGGTGTTACTCTGGCTAATTCCCACTCGCATAGATTGACCAAAATTTCCAGCTAGGGATGGTCCAACGATTTCGGCTACTAATTTTAACGAGTTATTGGGAATTCCATCAAGACCCACTGCTTTGTTCACATCAATGCTGCTTAGAAGATCACAGGCAGTTTTAACATTGTGGCAGAATCGAGAAAACAGTATGAGCAGGTCTCAGATAGAATTCAGGTTTGTTGGTTAAAGGAGGTAAATTGTCAGCCAAGTCTGAGCTATATTTGTGAGGTGATCGTTAAATAATTCATCAATTTCAATTCAAGAAGTGATTTTATGATTATCAATTTTAAGCTCAGATATATTTTTAGATTTAGTGGACTTACCCAAAGTTAGGAAGAGCGCAGAAAAAACTGAAAATGACCGTGAGTCAACAACTAATGAACACACAAATTGATGTTTTTTTTTTTCATCAGTAAGAGCATCCTCATGGTTCATCATTAGAACTTAAAATTAACGATTGTAAGGGTAACCATTATTTTTGTTCTTTCCTTTAATTTCTTTTCCTTTCCTTTCCTTTCCTTGTATTATCTGTCCTTCCCTTTTTTACCATTTTATTATTTGTTTCTTACTTCTATTTACAGTCTATTCTTCTTAATAAACAATACACAAATTATTAATAACCTCGTTGATGAAATGCTTCTGGACAATAATAGCTTGCAAAACAGGTGTTCTTCTGGGTTTGGGGAAAAACCGGGGTTTTGGGGGGAACTTTGGAAATTTGGGGGAAAACCGGGTTTTTTTTTTTTTTTGCTAGGTCCCATTTTTCTGGCGGGCACGTAGTCGAAACAGGAACCCCAAAACCCCGATTCTTYCTCAAATTCCTCAAAAAAATAGGACAATAACTAAAATCTAATAGAGGAGATAATAATATTTTTCGTGATTTGAAACTTTTCCTTCAAAATGATACTCGAAAGTTTTGTTACTGCCGTCAATCAAATACCTTGACGTCATTTACCCGCTTTTTGGATCGGTCCGGATAGGCCCGCTAAGTGTGGCTCATAATACATGTATACAATCGACAAGTTTTGGCGCCTTTTTGAATCACACACGCGTGTAAATGACGTCAACTTGTTTGATTGACGGCAGTCTAGTGCAAAGTGCACGTCTCGATTTTTGTCTGGGTTAGCCGCCTAGCAATGCAAATGGCGGTAAGTTATGTTAAAGTTTAGTTCAGACCAGTTGTTTAACAAATAACTTCAAAATGCTRTAACGCGAGTTCTGATTRGTCAAAATTTCATTTTAGATGACTGTGWTCAAAATTTTGACGATAATTTTTTGAAGGCTCTCTCAATCTGCACTTTCAAACGAATATTAAAATAGTATTTTTCTCGGCATTCAGCGTTGGTAGATTACAGTATCTACTAGGCTAAAATGAACTAAATATAGTTATTTTATATTACAGAAATTAAAATCATAAGATAGCAGACTCAACGCTAGATTCGAGTTGCAAACTGGAGATGAGCCAGCCTTTATGAAACTAGCATTTAGAAAGGGGGGAGATGATGAAGATGGCGCTTTACAATGGAGTTGTGAGTTATGCAATTTACAAGCATGAGAGATGGTTAGTGTGAAGTGGAGGCACTGAGGGTGTTCACTACCAGCGTTTCTTTTTATGTCCTCAGTGGTTCCTTTATGTCCCCCATTTACTGTAGGTTAGGAAGGGTTGGGAGACAGGGCCTATGGTTTTAAATCCTTGTCCGAGAAGACTTGAAGGTTTAACCGTTTGTAGATATAATTACAAAGCCGGCAGCACCTTCTCAGTGTTGGTCCGGCCGAGGCTTGAACCACGACCTCCCGCACAACAGACAGATGCTCTTACTACTGAGGTAACCGGTTKGCGGAAGTGTGAGAACACTTAAAGCTACTTAGCTTAAGGTAATTCCTTTGATTTGCACTGCGCATTTTTCTGCGCATGCAACTAAAAGTATGAAACCAACAAAGTTTAGGCTTTTTTTTTTTCCGGAAACTAAATAAGAAACATGTTCAAAACCAATTTTCACTTTTTTCTCTTCTTTGAGTAGAGAAATTGCGATTTTATCTGACTCGCCCCGGTCTCCACTCGAAAAAGTGTAATTTTACGACGATTTTGAGATGTTTTTTCAAGATAAATCAAAAACTAGAATGGTGACCCCCGTTTTTTATTTCAGATTTTGATAAATGCAATACTCGTCATTATATATCAAAATATGAAGGAAAGATTATAGGATAGATTTTGAAATACTTTGATTGGAATAGTTGACATGTGCAATTTTTGGACGTTCATAGAGGCGCACATACCTGCATTTTCACTAATACTTAAAGAATCATAGTCATCCAATGACTTTGATGGATTTAATAGTATAGATTATCTAGTAAACTTCGAGTTATAAGTACGTTTTACTCTATAAAAGTACTTTTAATGCTGAATAAAGGTTCTTGATTACAGCTTCCGGTTGCTACCGCATTTCACTACAAAACCCATAAATTGACATATTTGGAGACCATCCAGCGAAAAAACGAGAATGGTGACCCCATCTTTTTATTGCAGTTTTTAAATGTCCATAACATAATTAATGTCCATGCAAAGTTTCAGGGCAAAGTTATTGGCAAAATTTCTTTCGAGGGAATTACCTTAAGGCATGTTTACATGTCTACGAAGCGAACTATGAAACTTCCACATCTCTAGATAAATGAGGTTTTTAACCAAAGGTCATTAGACTGATTACCAACAGCATCCGATTGCACTTCTTTAAGCAACTGGTCATCACTCGCCTGAGGGACAAAGAAATAAGCAAATCATATTTGAAAAAAATGCAAAAATTCATTAACATTTCAACATTTCTAACCTCGTTGAATTGAATTGTTTCTCCCCGCTGATACTTGCGTTTCCTCCAACATTTATAGTAAAACACTACAACTCCAATCGTCAATACAAGCAATAAAAAATACAACCAATTCCAATTCAAACTTTTATCAGGTGGGGAAGCTGCGAATACAATATCAAAATGTTAGAAAAAATACCCCCTCTCTCCGATGTACTAGTGATCATGTGAATTGAGGAAGCTGAGAAGGAAAAAAGGAACAAACGAAGGTAAGGACGAAATTAACCCACCGACCCACGGACCAACCACATTTGGGTCAAATAAATGAATTGTACAGACTGAAATTGGCCCAAATGCAACAGTTACTTGAAATCAAGAGAGTGT